GGGAACACTCAACACGTCCGCTCAATAACAAGAGAGCAAACACATACAGAAGACTTTTTGCAACTATCTACAGATGGTTCTTATTTTTTTTAATATTTTAACAGATACACTTTTGAAACAAAAGCCCAAAACAACAAGCATCCTTTTCTGCAATAGCTAGGAATTAAATGGCATAATCCCATTTCACAAAAACATAAGGATGTATTCCATTATGCACTAAGTTAACAAGTGGGATAGCATAAAAAGCCATAGTAAACGCCACCCTGACTTTATAAATAGTTGCAGCAGTGTTGATTTTGAAAGAAATGAAAAAAAATCATTCATTTCAGCTTATACTAGAGCTCTTTAAGTACAAGTATATGGCCACTTCAGGTAGGATGAAAGACCAAGGAGAACAAACAAATCACAGCAAATTTTACATTAAAGGAGTATACAGGGCCTCTGTAGCCTCCCACTGCACTGCATAAAAAAACCCGGGGATATGTGCTGAATACTCACAGCATAGATATCCTGAGGTACTGATGTGTTCGTTCCATTGGAGCGATGACATTTAAAAGTGAAATTGTCTTTTGCACTGCAAAATAATAAATCTTTTTACTTTCCCATTGTAAAGTGGGCAATAAATAAATAATGTCTTAATTATTAATACTTACGGATTTGGAGGGTTGATATAATGAATAGCTACTCTTCCTTCAATACTTCCAAGGGCAAATCCAGTAGGTTTGTTCACTTTGTCTTTAAAAATAGCAACACAGCGATGCTAAATTTGAGAAGAATACAGAGCATTTTAGACAAAAGCTTCAGGGTCAAATTTTCTGAATGTTGGCTGTTTTGAATAGGGACACAAAACACCACATATTCAAACACATACTAAGCAGAAATACAAAGCTAAGAGATAGGTCACATTTTCTTGAGAATTTCAGCCATAATATTTACATTCTTAAATCCTTATGAAGATCAACAATAGAGATTTCTTCAGCACAAAAATAAAGTACATGTATTTAATCCCTCAAGAGAAGAAAAGACCAAGAAACGTTATGAATACTGGATATTCTCAACTTAGAAAATTTCTCAAATCTCCTTCTCTTCAACAATACACTAGAGTACCAAATACTAAAGAAATTTTATTAATTCCACCTCCTTGGAATAAGTATTGGCATTGTATGTGCAGAGTATAATCACTTGCAAAATTACTAACAACTCGGAGAAACAAACCTAGAATTGAAATCAAGCTTTACAGCAGCCTGTCTTCTTCTCAAAGTCTTGCAAAGCCCCTGCATACAACAGGTCTGCAGGATATGACAAAGCTCCTCGGTAATGTCGTGCAAATAACAAAATTATTTAATATGGGACAGTATCCTGATTATACTTGGTTAACATTTAAATATTCTGTCATCTCTTCTGTTTGTAAGGAATGGACAATGAAATTATTTTTACTTCATGTACAATAGATTTGTACATACAATTAGAAAAAGGAGGATAAAGAAGGAAGGAAGAAGATAATCCCAAGGCTCTTTTGTTAAACTCAGATTACTCAAAAAAACTCATTTCATGTGGTCCCACCATAGGCAACGCAGGCAGTTGCACCACTATAGACCACCGTAATGAAAGTCAAACTGGCACATGCCACAACAAGATAAAGAAATCAATCTTTAAAACATTATTTGTTTTTACTAAAAAAAATGTCAGGTCCAAAACTTCAACAGTCTGTATAAATACATCTGTAATAAATATATTTACCTGGTGTTTAAGAGGAGATTCTATTCTTCTAAATTCAGAAGGTTGATTCTCTAACTGATAAACTATCAGCCCCCTTTCTGCAGTGGCCACAGCAGCCATAGGATGAACCTGGATGAGGATGCAAAATACGTTGAAAGACAGAAAGTTGTGTTAACAGCATGACAGAGAAATCTATTTATTAATTCACACAAACCCAGGAAGAAATTATAGGAATTTGACTGTTCTTGGGAGCGGGGAAGGAAGATAGGAAAGGGGGAGATGAAGGAGAGCAACATTCAGCCGTAGACATGTTTTCTGATCCAGAAATAGCACAGTGATGGATACTAGGGGTGCCCTCCATGATGCAAACATCCATTCTCCATAGGACAGATCAAGAAAACCAGTTTATGTGTTATTATGAAGGTTACCCAGGGAATAAACATTAACAGTCTGTATTTAGTGCTAACCTAGAGAAGCTCTGAACAAAGGCTGTTCAGTTTATTAATACTGCAGCCCAAGGAGCTGACACTGGTTTACCATTTTTGCTGGCTTACCACATCAGCACAGTAACATCTTTCAGGGAGCTGCAGCGTCATCATAGGTGTCGGCAAACGGGTATCCCAGAACTGATAGAGACAAAAGAGAAAAAACAAAAGTTATGCTTGGAGTAACCACACAAATTCCTTTGCTAAAGGAAGGGCAAGTACTACCAAACTATTTCACTCTTGTCCAGAACTCGAGTACTGCAACGCCTAACATCAGGCTACTTTGTTAATCTGTTCCTTGTATTAGTGTATTTAAGAATGCATCTTCATGTAACATAAATATTTTTATGTGCAGATATTAGCACCCTTTGTGCCCATTTCTTCAATGAACATCATACCTTCAAAGTTTTATCCCAGCTTCCTGTCATCACACAGCTGTAATTTGGTGCTTTAATCCAATGGATAGTCTTAACAGGAGCATCGTGCTGAAGAGGAGACAGGACAAACACATCTACAGTTATTAAAATAACAGTCCATATGCTTGCTTATGCTTCATTTTTATATGCATTTACACTTTTTATGCACTCAAAAGAAGTGCTTTGTTATTTTAGCCAAAAAGTTAGGGTGCATGTTGTGGGTCATGATCTTATCGTGGTGTTTAGCATTGTAAAAAAAAAAAAAAAACTGCAGAGAAAAATAAATGGTTCCTGATGAAAGAAAATTACTACCAAGTCATCCTACAGAGGAAGATGGTCACAGCACAAATACGAATCTTGAACAACGGTGTTTTCTATTTGTTTATGAAGACACTTCCCAAGAAATAACAAACTGTATTAACTGGTGAACAAAAGGTCCTTTTGGGAACAGTTACAGCAGAAAGGCTCATGCTCACCAAAGCAACAAGGCTTTAAAATCGTTATTTTAAAATCTGATTTTTTTCACCTAAATATAGTGCAATAACAACAGCGGTCAGCACGCAGAAATAAGAGTGATAGCAGTAGTAATAGCAACAGTGATCAGCATGCAGCTGAACTCTCGGGTAAGAGGCATGAAAACATTGCACAGCCTCGTGCAGCCCTCGGCAGGGCTCCTCATACCTGCCCATGTCAATAGCTGGCAATGTAAAAGGCATCATACAAACATTTATCTATTTTGGAAGCACTAAACATTACCTTAATTACCTTATAAATGTAATTAATTTAATAAAGATAATTTAATAAAAGTGAAAAGAAAAACAAATCACAAAAAAACAAACCACAAGAAAACACACACAAAGAGTCTGGGGTTTGCTTACCTGTGCAATCTGAATAGCCTGATTACTGTTGAGATCCCACATTTTGGCAGTTTTATCACAGGAAGCTGTAAATACTTTACTCCCATCCTATAAACAATTAAAAATCAAATTAATATGTACTATCTATTAGAAACTGTTCATCTTGTTTACTTCTAGTAATATTAACAGAAAAATAATTTAAAAAGAATAGCTTTGTATAAGGACTGCAGTACAAAGAAGAACTACAAAAGTGATAATTTCTTTGCAATTATCTGTTAGGGTTGTGCATTTAAGACATACCACCATAAGCTTCTAGGAGAAAAAAAAAAGACATTTTTTATGTACCTGCCATTTCCTTATACCTTTTTACCAACAACAAATCCAAATTATATGTCAAAGATAACCTTGTGCGTTCACACTTTATTTGTTTAAATACACCGAAAAATACTTTTTAGTTAGAAAGTTTTTAAAAAGAAGAAAAAATAACACAGTAGTAAGTTTTACCACTGCTTTTTTTTTCCTTGTACTTCGAATTATGCAAACATTTAGTACTGATAACAGTACTAAACTGTTAAACATTTTGCTAGTAAAAGCCTGACTAGGTAATGCATGTACAGAGAATGTACACTTGCTGCAAACACACTTCTGCAGAATCTCAAAGGTTTGGTAGAATTTTTGGAAAAAAAGAAAATCACATATAGAAAAATACGAAAAACATATCATAGAAACTCAGCTTACAGTACAATTCTGTTTTAGATTCAAGGTCCTTGTCTCAAGGTCTTTTCTAAGCTTACTTTAAAACCTGAAGAGGAATCTGTACTACTCCTCACCTAGTTTTAAACATATTCTTACTTTTAAACAGACTTTCACCCTTCCTCTCTGGCCATGTGGGCCTCTTCTATTAAGGCTTACTTAGCACAGAGATACAAGCAGCAGCCCATAAAATAGTCATGGGATCCATCTACACTTGGCACTATGGTGTGACTGGAAACCACATGCTGATTTGTGCTTCTGGAAGAAAAGAGTTTGTTTATTTTTACAGGGGAACGTACATCACTCCAGCACCCATCGAGCACAGGCCCTGTGTGCATCTGCTGAGCCTTCGGAATTGTCTGTCCGTTATCCTGAACTTCCCAGCAGCGAACCTGCAACAAAAGACACACACACAGATGTTAACATGTTAATACGAAAAACTAAATGATTCTATCCTGACTTAATCTAATGAACCAATGATTCTAAACAGCAAATGCTCTCTACAAAACTAATGGAACCTCATTTCCTCTGTGTTCCCTTCATCCACACAGTCTGACATCCTCGACCCAAGAACAACTTCAGCTCTCCCTAAAAAAGGGCTTCACAATCATGTAACACCTGCAGGAGTCCTAAGGGCCAGCTGGGAAGTGTCTGCACGTGTCTCAGCAGAGCCTGTGCAGGTCCCTGGCCAGCACTGCAGGCCCCAGGGCTGAGCCAGCCTCCCCCTCTCTGTTCTATCCATCGGGATCTGGAGCTTCTGTCCAAACAGAAGTTTCAACAAGGCTGGGGGGCATTAACCCTTTTGAGACTACGCTGTCAAACTAGCAGAGATTCACCAGTGCCTTTATAGCTCCTCCACTAGAAACCACGTGCAGAACTGTGTTAGTCTAATCCTCCCCAAAAATGAAGCTAAAAACAGACCAGTGGGAAAAAAGAAATAAGACAAATCTAACAGAAAAACTATTGGCTATGTCTCCTGAGATGGAGTCTAAGAAACACTGCACAGGAATGACTGTTCTGAAGATCATAACCAAAAGCAAAAGTAGCTCAAGCAATTTTTACTTTTCTCAGCAAAAGCACCTCAAGCCATGTCAAACCTATCAATGCCTAGGCACTAAAAGACAAACTACAGAGCGTGCAAAGAGAAGGATTTGCAGGCAGCCTGGTGCAAGGTTTTAGGGTCCCCCTTTGCAGTTGAGGCAGCCCTCCTTCCAGCTGATCCTGCGGTGGCTCTGATGGTGAGTACTTACATCGTTGGCCCATGATCCCGCAATGAGGAAGTTACCAGGCAACGTCGGCGGGCTAAAAGCTAAGCAGGATATGCTGTCGTCAGGCGGGGATGTCACCTCGATGTCCTGCGAGGAGCGGAAGGACAGGGGGTAACACACAGCCGCGCCGGGCCGGCTCCAGGCGGAGGCCGTGAGGAGCCGCGGGCAGGCGGCTGGAGGGTCCCGGTTCCCGGGCCAGGGCACCCACCTTCATGGGGTTGTGGTTGTCCGCGGTGGTGCTGCCGAACATGCTGGTGCCTCCGGTCCCGAAGCCCGAGGTCGACCCGAACAGGCTCATCTTGGCTCTGCAAAACGCAGAAAGGCTCCTGAGCGCCCGCAGG